TTCTACCTATATTGGCAGTTTGTCAGTCACTTTCTTCTGTGTCCTACAGAATGTCTGAAAGACTCTTTCATGAAGCAGGATCCCAGAAGAACTGTGTCACCTTCTTTAGGCAACTTCAGCAGTCATTTTTTCTGTGGGTTCTGTATGTCCAGTTCATACAGCATAACATCAAGCAGTTCAGGCAAGAACAGTTTCTTGCCAAAATGGTTAGCAAACTCCATAAGGAGTCTCTTTAATGTCCATCATCCCCTTGAAGTATATTGGTGCTGCCAGGAGCAGATGAGTCTCATTGTCATGAAAAGTCTAAGTTCTTAAGAAATTTAAAAATACATATTCTGTAGTCTTTGAAAGGTTTCAAGTTATCTAACTAAAATAAATCTATTTATGTCTAGAAACCTAACTAATATGACTACAAGCTTGACTATTATACATGACTCTCTATTAACCTATATTTATTAATTATTCATTACATTTTAAATGAGCTACATAAACACAATACCTTAATCAAGAGCAAAAGTATACATATAACAAAATTGACCTTAAATTTGTATCAATAGACCAAGATTCAGACCAATGCAAATCTCTATTATATCGTATCTCCCTTTAAATGTAAACAAACATATACAAACAATATTTGGGAATTTGAGCATGTTCTCTTCAAACTGCTTCCTGCTTTTTATTGGGCAAAGTAATTTTTGGGGTGGGTGTTCACGGTGACCTTTTGAGGGGTCTTGGTCTTGGTCCATCAACCCATATTAGTCTGAAAGGATTCCATAGGTTCTCATTCTCTGTGGAAGCAAAAGAAGAACTTCTTTTCCAAAGCAATATATCCTTAGACCCAAATTCTGAAATCAAGATACCTTATGTTGATTTATCTTTGCAGTCCATACAATGAAATGTCCTTCATTCATTAGCTCCTTCACAGTCAAAAAATTCAAAGAAGACACAATAATATACATAATCCAGACTCTCTGTGTATTTTCCACCTTTATGTGGCTTATTTTTCTTACTCTATTACTTTTTCCACAAGTTTAATATTTATTTTATTATCTTTTATATGACATTTACTGTCTCTTTACTCTTTTTTCTTCTCTTCCCCAAGCCTACATACATTTTTTAAATACGGTGTCTCATTTAGAGGTCTGTTATGTCTGAATCTGTCCTTATTGCATATTTGTAATTCTTTTCTGACCATGACGGCTTCTTAAAATGCTAAGCGCTTCTTAAAAACCTAAGTGACAGCATTGCTAGAGCAAATACGACCCTGCCTGCTTGCTCTTCCCAGTCCAACATGGTGGAAGTTCGTTCACTGCCTCTGAGACTGCCAGGTACCTCAACTCTGATAACCTGTTGGCCCATGCTGCCACCAAGTAACTTGATGTGGATTCCCCTCTGTATATTGTAAATATCATCAGTTAATAAAGGAACTACTTTGAGCCTATAGCAGAGCTATAGAAGAATAAAGTTAGGTGGGGAAAACTAAACTGAATGCTGGGGAAAGAAGGGCAGAGTCAGGAGAAGCCATGGAGCTGCTGCTGGAGACAGATGTGCTGAAACTTTGCTGGTAGTCCATTACCTCATGGTGATGCACAGATTAATGGAGATGGGTTAAATTAAAATGTAAGGACTAGCCAATTAGAAGCTAGAGCTAATAGGCCAGCAGAGATTTATATAATATAGTATCTGTGTGATTATTTGGGGCTGAGCAGCCGGGAACCAACAAGTGGCTTCCTTCCAACAGTAACTTGTAGCACGCTGCCCATAAACCCCTGTTAAATACTTGGCCTTCTGAAAGAGTTCATGCTGACAGCACAGAGCTGCTGTTTTGAAACTGTGCAGGTTTTTCTTCTTCTTCTTCTTCTTCTTCTTCTTCTTCTTCTTCTTCTTCTTCTTCTTCTTCTTCTTCTTCTTCTT